CAGAGGCTGGATCACCAGAGGCAGGATCACTAGAGGCAGGCTCATCAGAGGTTGGAATACCAGAAGTGGCATCACCAGAGGTGGGATCACTAGAGGTGGGATCACCAGAGGTTGATACTTCAGAGGCCGTATCTCCAGAGGCTGGCAGATCTCCAGTAGCCAAATCACCTGAAGGTGGATCACCAGGAGCTGGTTCAGTGGTCACTTTAGAGTTTAGTTCAGGAGTTTTACTACTAGGAGACAAAGATTCATGCTTTAAATCATCATCTGAATTGTTTTTTACATTAACATTTAAGATACAAGGTGTTTCTTTCCATTCTGATTTACTTTTCTCAGGATTAAAACAAAGTTCTTCAAGGCCATTCACCTCATCCTTGTCATTAATATAATCCATATTCTCCAAAGGTGAGGTTGGGTCCACATCTCCATTTTCATGATTGCCATTTAACAGCTTGACATCAGTTTTCAACAGTTCTTCTTTGACCTTGTACACTGCATCCAGTTGTTGACGATCACTCACTCTCATTGTTTTTCGAGCCTTAAAGACTTTTTTCTGAGGTTCTTCTATACTATCCATTTTGAATCTTTAAAAAGAAAAAGAGAGACAGAGTTTAATAATTGAAACAAGAGAACCAAGATGGCGTAGGTAAACGCCAATACTCACCGCCTCCCACAACCACATCAAAATTACAACTAAAATACACAATCACCATAATTCAGAACTGCCTGAAATCTGGCTGAATGGAAGTCCTACAACTAGAGAAGTAAAGAAGAATGTACACTGAGACTGGTAGGAGGGGCGGAGGTATGGACCGGGCTGGTCAAACACCCACATGTGGCATTTTTGTCATTGGAAAGATATCTAAACAGTGGAGGTCTCTTGTGAGAAGTAAGGGGTCCCAGCCCCACACCAGATCCCAACCCAGGGTTGCAGGGCTAGAAAGAGAAGTCTTTGTAACTTTGGGCTATAAAGACCAGCAGGGAATGTGGCTGCATGACATGGAGTCGGCTGGAGACCCAGGCAGTTCCTCTTAAAGGGCTGGCAAATGGACTTCCTTGGACTCACTACCTCTGAGGACCAGCACTAGCATAAAGGCTTGAGGGGATCCAGAGAAAAATGGGGAGGAACTGGATTGTCTGGCATAGGAGCAACAACTTGGGGGCAGTTTTCTGCCAAACAGGGGTGCCTGCAGGGTCATTTTTCCTATGCTGAGACCTCCTTCATCACAGAGTTGACTGGCAGCCATATCTGAGTTTCCATCAGACTGGCTCACACTGTTCACTCCACCCTAGTAATTCCCTGAGACCCCATACCACCACATATGCAGCCTCACTCAAGCTGTTACAGAGGCTTTTCCATATGAGTGGCCTGTCCTGGCTCAGGCATCAAACTTAGCTAAAACCTCTCAAACAAACAGCAGCAGACATCAGCGTGCCACTGACGTATCAATAAGAGGCCTAAGACCCAACACTAGCAGCAGCTTTCCTTGCTTCACAGCTTGGCCTTGCCTGGGTACTTCCAAGCCCACCACAAGTAGCAGCCATTGGCAGATCACTCTGTAGTTCCTGACAGGTGGCCCCGGGCAGTGGCTAATTTTGCAACTCCCTGGAGGTCCTGGTAGGCAGCTTCAGATTTCACCAGATTATAACTCTACACATCTATGAGCAACAAACTCAAGGGGCAGAATCAATGAGCACCAAAGCCCCACTGACGCAAGTCCTGCTCCATAGGGGTGTCCCATACACAACAGCTCTTCTGCTGTAGTCGCAACTGGTCCTCACAGCCAATTGGCCTGGAGGTCAACTCCTCCCAGTAATGCCAACAGCAATCAAGGCTCAACTACAACAAGACTGTGCACAGAGCCCACACAGGGGCACACTCAGAGTGCCCAGTTCAAGTGACTGGGGAGGCTGAGCCACTGGGTCCTACAGGAAACCTACTTTAAAAAGATGCTCAACCAATTCCATTAGACATAGCAGCTCTACCTAATCTAGAGAAACAAACATAGGAAGCAGCTAAAATGTGGAGACAAAGAACTATGTTATAAATGAAAGAACAGAAGAAATCTCCAGAAAAAGAACTAAATGAAATGGAAGCAAGCAAATTACTAGATACAGAGTTCAAAACAATGCTTATAAGGATGCTCAAGGATCTTCATGAGAACATCAAAGACATGAAAAAGGACCAGTCAGGAATTAAGCATATACTAACTGAAATAAGGAATAATGTACAGGGATTCAACAGTAAAGGATGCCAAGAATCAAGTCAGCGATTTGAAATATGAGGAAGCAAAAAACACCCAATCAGAAAAGCAATAAGAAAAAAAAGAATCCAAAAATATGAAGATAGTGTAAGGAGCCTCTGGGACAACTTTAAACATAACAAAATTCGTATTATAGTGATGCCAGAAGGAGAATAGAGATAGCAAGATATTGAAAACTTATTTGAAGAAATACTGACAGAAAACTTCCCCTACCTGGTGAAAGAAATAGACTTACAAGTCCAGGAAGCACAGAGTCCCAAACAAGAGGAACACAAAGAGGGCCACACAAAGACACATCATAATTAAAATGCCAAAGGTTAAATAAAAAGAGAAAATCGTAAAGAGATTCAATCTCAAACAGCAAGAGAAATGCAGTCAGTTACCTATAAGACAGTACCCATATGAATGTCAGCTGAATTCTCAATAGAAACTTTGGCCAGAAAGGTGTGACAAGAAATATTCACATGATGAAAAGCAAGGACCTACAACCAAGATTACTCTACCCAGCAAATCTATTATTTAGAATTGTAGGTCAGATAAAGAACTTCACAGACAAGAAAAAGCTAAGGGGTTCATCATCACCAAACTAGTAATTCATGAAATGTTGAAAGGTATTCTTTACAAAGTGGAGAAAGAAGAACAAGAACAAAAATATGAACAATAAAAACATACCTATCAACAATTGAATCTAAAAGTCAAAATAGACGAACAAGGAATCAAATTAACAAAATAAACTGATTAATAAAATAGAACCAGTAAAGGATCAGTTTCCAGAGGCATGGAAACATGAAACTGAATGACGAATCTCAGAGAGAAAGAGGTGGGGTCGGGTAGGTGGCAGGGGAGATTAACCAAAGAATGTATATGCATTACCTATGGACACAAATAGTACAGTGGTGAGACAATACGATGGTGAGGCCTGTGGCAGAACCAGGTTGAGCAGGGCAATAGGACGGAGACATCTGTAATACTCAACAATAAATTATTTTTAATTGAAACAGAAGCTACCTAATTATAGACTCACTGCAAATTGACCTTACAAGCATCCTTCATGTACTTTTGAAATAATGATCTATAGAAAGCATAATAATCCTTGCTGCATATTAATTTTTATATTTTTTAGATTTGTGTATTATAACATTGAGAATAGGTACAGTCCACAGAAGATCAATTACTGGAAGTATTAGAAAAAAGTTGACTAACTTCTAGTTTTCATTCTCAGTAAGCTAATGGGTTTAGAAAGTCCAATGGTAAATATAAGCTTAAGAAAGTAGATGGAAGTAAAAATAGTAGACGGAGAAAGAAAAAGAAAACTGTAAGAGAGTGAAAACAATAGGGGAATGGGAAAGAGGTATAGAGATAAGAAACAATGGAGGGAAATTTAAGAAACACGTAAGATTGTATTTACAATCAAGCATATCTAGATTAACAGAACTAAAAATATAGCAATAAGAGACTGCCATTAAGAAAGTGAAAAAGCAACTTATACAATAGAGGGAAATATCTGCAAATCATATATTTGCAAATAATGTATTTGACATGATAACTTGCATTTAGAAAATATAAAATGCTGTTACAGCTGAATAACAACAAAAATTTTTAAATGGGCAAAAAACTCGACATTGCTCTGAAAGATACTCAAATAGCCAGTAAGGCAATAGAGAACAAGGAACATTAGAAGAGGCTTAACATCATTAGTCAACAGAGAAATGAAAACTATCTAATCTAATAAAAGAGAAACATGCAAATTGACCATACCTTAGCTACACCCCAAGCCATGCCCACCAGGCAATCAGAGCGACTATATGCAAATTAACCCAACCAAGATGGCAGCCGGCAGCCAAAGAGCTGGAGCAAGCAGGAGGCTTGGTTGCCCCAGCGATGGAGGAAGCCAAGCTTCCCGCCTGCCCTGGCTGGCTTTGGAGTCTGCTAAAGGCAACAAAGTTTCAATGAGAGAAGATAAATAAACCCCAGATACCTGCTTCCAGTCAGCCTCCACTGGGAGCTTGGGTGGCTGGGGGCTGTGGCCAGCCTGCAAACAGCCATTAGCCCCTCACCCAGGCTGGCCACACCCTCAAGGGGTGAGGTTCCCTGCGGGGGGGCTTGACAAGCCTGCAAACAGCCTTCAGGCCCTCACCCAGGCTGGCCAGGCACCCCAGCAGGAACCCTGACCCTGAAGGGGCTGTGGCCAGACTGCAAACAGCCATCAGCCACTCACCCAGGCTGGCCAGGTACCCCAGCAGGACCCCCCTACCTGAAAGGGGTATGGCCAGTCTGAAAACGGCCCTCAACCCCTCACCCAGGCTGGCCAGGCACCCCAATGGGACCCCTACCCTGATCCGGGACACCCTTCAGGGCAAAACAGCCAGCCCCCACCCATGTACTCTGCTCAGCCACAAGCCAGGCTGATGGCTTTCAGCACAGCAGTGATGGCAGGAGCGTCTCCCGCCTCCTCAGCAGCACTAAGGATGTCCGACTGCAGCTTAGGCCTGGTCCCCGCTGGCAAGTGGACATCCCCCGAGGGCTCCTGGGCTGCCAGAGGGATGTCTGACTGCTAGCTTAGGCCCGATCCCCCCGGGGAGGGGGCCTAAGCCAGCAGGTGGACATCCCCCAAGGGGTCCCAGATTGCAAGAGGGTACAGGCCGAGCTGAGGGACCCCCCTCGAGTGCACAAATTTTTGTGCACCAGGCCTCTAGTCCTAGCCTATATAATAAAAGCCTAATATCCAAATTGTTCGACCGGGAGTTCGACCACTCACTATGACATGCGCTGACCACCAGGGACGACGTAGAACATGGCAGCCGTCAGCAACGTGATGCTGGCAGCGGGCAGCAGTGGAGGCACTACTGGCCCCAATGGGCCCCCGACGAGAGTGGTACCACGGCAGAATGGTGGAGCAGGTGAGCAGGCAGCACCAGGCCAAGGTGGGTGCGAGCGGGGACCCAATCGCCCCACAGACGGCGACCAGCAGTGGCAGTGGGGGGGCGGGGCTGCTGCCTGGCTCCCAGGCATTGAGGGAGCTGATCGACCCACAGATGGTGACCAGCAGCTGGCAGGCCCTGATCGCCCAATCGGGGCTGAGCCCCAGGCTGGGATGGGGAACTGGGGGTGGGTGGCAATGACCAACCTCCCGTAGTGCCCGAGCAGGGGGCTGTGACCTCTCACCAGCTACCTGGGGGCAGGGGTGACAGGGATGAAGGTGTGGTGAGAATGCGGGATGTCTGCCAAGCTCGCGCTCACTCCCCCTGCTACCCTTCCCCGGCATACCAGGGCTCATGCCACCAGCGAAGTTTTATGGCTCAGGTGCTGGGCACCCACGA